TCCCTAGCCTGTTACATAGATCTATTTACTTATACTAATCCATGGTTTCTATTCCAGAGTAAGTCATTTTTACAGTTAATAGGGAGATTTTTCCCTCTTTTTTCTTTTTCTTTTTTTCTTTTTTTTTTTTAAGAGAGATTTTTGCTATAGGGGACATAGGATTGCCTGAGAGAAAGAGAGAGAGAAAACGAGAAATCACCCCACACACCACAATCCCTTCTCCTCCATTCTCCTCTCAGGATACTGGAAATGCACACACACACCGGGCTTGAGTTTTAAGTCACCGGGTCCAGGACTCAAACCACGGTTGACTATATGGGAGTCCATTCAGCTATTTGCTGGTCCCCCTCTGCATCTCTTTCTTCTAATTGTCTTACTTCTTCTTGGTTCTTTGTTCTTCTACATGAATTTTAGGACCAGTCTGGTAAATTTTATGTTTTAAGTAAGCCTGTTGTGGTTTGAATGGAATTACAACCATTTTTATAGGTTAATTGGAGAGAAATACATTTTTAATTAATTGAATCTTTATTAACATTGCTTATTTTCCCTTTTTTAGGTACTCTTTTGTTAGCTCAGTAACATTTTATAATATTTGAACTGAGTCTTCAGTCTTTTTTGTTAGACTTACTTATTGATTCCTTAAAAGTTCTCTTGATATTGAAAATAGGCAGTCTTTCTTAAAATTATATTTTACAATTTATTTCCATTTAAATGTATAAATAGTACTCATTTTTTAACATTTATTTACAACTAATGAACTTATTGTAAGCTATTATTTCATCTAGAGATTCTTAGATTTTAGATTTTCTTTGTAGACATGCTTATTTTTCTATATACAGTACTTTCTTTGAATAGTACCCATTTTGTTCTTGCTTTTCTGATTCTTATATGGAAAATTTTTTTTTCTAGTAGTCTTTTCATAAACAGGACAATAATTCAAGTGTTTTATGCAGAAGACTCCAATTAAGCTCTCTGCTTTATGTAAATCTGTGGTCATTCTCTCCCATCAAAGAGATATTGGGAACCAGCAGTTAGCATAATGGCTATGTCGCTGGACTCCCACGTAGTCGACCGCGGTTCGCGT